GTTTTTGAATTCTTAAGTAGCAAACAGTTCAGCACTTTTATAGAGCAGTCGTGATGTCCCAAAGTCTTCCTTGGCCATTGGGTGAGAACCAGGAGCACCTGAGATGTTCCTGAGGGGACACGGGTGTATATCTGAGAATAGGAAAGTCATCAAAAGAGAAAGTAGTCAGCAAGGGGTCTGCTTGAAAATAAAGGTGAAAAGGTAAGAAAACAAAGATAGATCCTAGAGTATCTCTAGGCATCCCTTTGGAAATACAGTAAACTCAATTTCACCCCCACATTTGCATGTTTGTAGAATCTAACCCCAGTTTTTACCAACTTTCTGTCCCACCAGCCAGGAGCCCTGTGCTTTCCCTTCCCTGCTGTGCTAATGGGCATTGCTGCCTGCCTAGCAGACATGGTGCTAAGTACATCTGAAGTCATGCTTCTCTGCTAGAACTTGGAGTGATTTTATCCTCACACTGATAATGCCTTCAGAGAGTTAAAAAGACCCAGAATTTGCACCCTGTGCAATCGTTTCTAATTTATCCTGCAAAAGACTTTTCCTAAACAGTGTCAGAGCCAGCTGTACTTCCATCCTCTCGGCTTTTTATTTCTGTGCCTGTACATAGTAGGGACGTAATTACATTTGGATTTAAGATTTAAGTCTGCCTTGAAAATCCACTTTTCTGTGTAGCTGAAGAAATGCATTTGCAACAAAGTAGTGTTTGTAAATTTGGATTGTTCTTTCTCTCGTGATTGATCTTCATAGAATGGCCTGGGTTGAGAAGAACCACAGTGCTCACCCAGTTCCAACCCCCTGCTGTGTGCAGGTCACCAAGCAGCAGCCCAGGCTGCCCAGAGCCACATCCAGCCTGGCCTTGAATGCCTGCAGGGCTGGGGCATCCACAGCCTCCTTGGGCAACCTGTGCCAGTGCCTCACCACCCTCTGGGTGAAAGTATTTTCAGACTTCAGTTTTGTTTCCATTCATCTAATTTGATGTATCAGAAGACTTGACCATTAGAGATGTTATCTGACGCATCCACATGAAAAGCATGATGTAAGTGCTGACTTCTACAGTGCTTGCTTTGGAGACTAAGCAGCCAAACAGTAACACAAAAATTAAAACTTGAATGCTTGGAAAACAAAATCATCAGCCCTTCCTCGTGTCTTCTGGTTCAAGTTAATTCACTTAGCTGATTCACAGAATCATCGTTTAACTTCTCTATGTCTCTGTCATAGCTTTTCTTTTTCTCATGTACGTTTTTATGTCAGAGGCATTTTGTGAGTGAGGCATCTGTCCTTGCGGACTCTTTGTGCTCAATTTCTGCTGTTAAAATGGTGATGATTTTTTGGAGATCAGTTTCCATCCTGACAGTAACCTGTCAGGATCTCTCTCACAACTGAAAAGATGTTTTTCTCATTTTGGAAGCGATTTGCATGGAAAACCCAACCTGCTGGAGACGCAGTGAGAACACAGAGATCTGTGCTTGAAAAGCATTACAAGGGATTTGAATGCAGTTGAGTATTGGATGGCTTCTAGCATCACCAAAGTTTGGAAATGGAGTTTAAAACCATAATTTCAGGCTCAAGTGCTGCACTGACAAAGGGAGGAACTGAAGGATGACAGGTTTTGCCTCACCTGGTGTTCTCAGCATCGTCCCCACTTTCCTGCTCTGCTGTTCACATCAGAAATATGTGATATGGGAATCAGAATCGAGGAGCAAGGACAAGAAAAAAAAAACATTAGAAGAAGGCCTAGACAAGCATTCTATTTTCCAAATAATTAATAATTATGTGAAATAGGTCTTTTCCTTTGATGGTATTCCTTGAATAAATTGAAAGCAGTGGAAACATCTTTATTTTGCAAAATATTCAAGACCACATGCATATGCCAGAAGTGAAACAGCAGCTCACCAGCTATACATCACCTGAGTTCTATCCTGTTTGTATCTGAATGCTTGTTTCTGAGCAGATCGGTTTGGTTCCCAGCAGCGCACTCCAAAAGATTTCATTGGAAAATCTTCTGTTTTTTTTTTCTAATGCCTTCCCCAGTGTGTTTGTAGAAGATAATGCTTATTGAGTTCACCAGTGTGCTGTCTGTGCCCTGTTCTCTGTGCCAGACTTGCTGCCTTTGCTAGCATTTGTCCATCACAGCCATGCACCTTGTTAATCTTCTCCTGTATCCCAAGCGTTTGACATTTTGTATGCAAGAAGTGCTGATGATATTTGTAAAATTCTGATCATGAATTGTAATTTTTACAGTTAATAGCAGTCAAACTGTAATTACTATTTTCATTTCTTAGGCTTAGTGATGGCTCAAGACAGCTGGAAAATCCACCTTAGAACAGAGAAATTATTTGAAAACATTGCCTCGAAGTTCATTTTGGGCTTTCTTTAAAACATTCCTTGTTGTTAGGAGCGTGTTTGAGCAGGTGCTGGAAGAGAAACCAGATGGGGGATGGTTGTGCTGGGTGCTTGTGTGAGGCAGGGAGCAATTCTCAGCTCCATGTCTAGCTGCAGGGGGATGTGATGGGGAGATGGGATGGAGCATGCCTTGGTGACTTGTGTTGTCACCTTGGTGGCACAGCACTGAGGAAAAACCCTTGCTTTGGCTGTTTCTGAAGACATACAGGAGTGTGAGTGGTTTCTCTTTGCACTGCTTCCCTGAGGCTTCGGTGCACAGAGAGCAGAGGAGGTGCTCCTTCCTCAGAGCTGGAGCTCTCCCAGAGCTGGCAGTGCTCCTCTCTGCAGCAGCAGGGGGAAGAGTTACCACGATGAGGCAGATCTGAGCAGACACTTGGGCTGCTCTTTCTGCTTGGTGTGAGAGGCTTTTCAGTCCCTGCTACCAGATCTTGTTGAAGACCTTCTTGCTAAATTATCATTTATGTGTCTGTGCAATAAGCTTGGCAGCTCTGTTGGGTGGAAATGCTTTTGATTAAAAGTGAGATGTTTTAGGTTGTGGCTTGGCTCCTGCTAGCGAGACAGTTGTGTTTCTTGGTAACTCTTCTGTTCTGGGTTGTGCTCTCTGCTTTTTCATTTAGTGATATTTCCTGCATGCACAGACCAAAGGAGAGCCCCCAGGTGTGGTGAGAACATCTGGCTGGATGCCCTAGTTAGAAGAACGCATTCCAATGACCTTATGTCCAACCTGGAAGTCATCACAGCATCAATTTTGGCAAATTGGGGGCTCTGAGTGAACAACGTTACAAGTTATGGCTTCTGTAAGTGTACTGTGTGGGCTTTTTCATACTTGTGGGGTAGAAGTAGGGATTTAAAAGGTCAGTGTAGTTTTGTGATCTCCCTCTGCAAGCTTTACATGCTTTCCTTTAGCAAGTCAGAGTACATTGGATCTATCTTTCCAGATAGCTGAGTGCCAGCATCTGTTCTGTTGCCCCACAGTGAAAATACCCAGCTGTTAGATACATTCTGTTCAGGAGGTTAAAAAGTGGGCACACTCTTGTACTATTTTTCAAATCTGTTCTCCAAATTCTGCCCGCTAGCATAAAGGCATAGCAAACAAAAAGCTGCAGAAGTCTTTATAATGAACCCAGATTTCATCCATCGAGCCAAATGAGTGGAGGCTGTAGGTGGACAAAGCACGGTTTTGTTCCCCCCAGAATATTGTGAAAGCATCCCTATCAATTTATTAGCAGGGCAGAAGGATCAGATTGATGTTTGATATTGCTTCTAGCTTGGAAAACAAGTAAGTTATGCTGTGCATCTAGATGTGCAAAGTGCTGGATGCCATCCATTTCTCTTTCAATTTAAAAAGCATTGGGAACATTCAGAATCCAGGTTGAGTCTTTTAATCTTGTGTTGATGGTACAGCAGCAGTTTCAGAGAGCGCTGTGAGCTAGCTGTCCTTCCTGCTTCAGCATGACTCATGGCATTGTATTAATTATTCTTACAAGACTCAGAGATGCAATGCAGACAGAATACAGCCTACCTGACGTGCTTCTCTGTTTCCTGTATGTAAGAACAAAGTGTGGAAGGGGATGGGAAGCTCTTGGTGACATGTGGAGCTAATGCACTCTGGTGTAATCTTGCATCAGATAGAGATAAGAACAAAATGTGTCTTAGCTGCTACTGGAAGGATGTAACAAGGTATCTAGCTCCAAGGTGATGATAGAATCTCTGAATATCCCAAGATGGAAGGATGGAAAGATCACAGCCAGATCTCCCTGTGGGTGATGGAATAGCCTGGTACTTTGCTAACTGTGCAAGACTTATGAGATCTGGCACATCAGCTTATCAGCCTGTTTCCTGCTGAGTGCTCGTCAAATTTGTGACTGACAGCTCTATGCAGCTTGCTTGAATATCAACCTTCATCCAATTTGTTTTGTAATTGATTGAGGGCGAATGAGTAGCTTCCTGTTCCAGAATGACTAGAGCTCCAGATGCAGGCACACCTGTCAGGCAGAGGCAGCAAGGGAGAAATTTCATGGGGACACATGAAGAAATTGGGTCAATCAGCATTCTCGGTGTTGCTTAGAGTACCTGGTGCTGGATGTTCCTTGATGAAAGGTGGTGATTGCATGCTCACACTCTGCTGCATCCTGAGCGTGAGCCTCTGCCAGCACTTCTGGGTAGGCAGCAGACGGCTCACTTGGACGCTATGAAGGGATAATATGTGACAGTATCTTTAGCTACAAACCCAAGTTTGCGTGCAGTTCAGTCAGGCACACGGAATATTTGTTGAAATAGCCTGAAATTTCACTTGCTGATCTGCCGTGTGTGGCATAAGAAAGTGGCAGATAAGCAATGCAAAAATTCTCCTGGCATCTCTTGTCAGCACTGTGCCAGCACCAACCTCCAATACTGTGTCAGCAAAGGAAAAGGAGGGCAGTGGATGGGTTACAGCTGCCAAGTGAGGTGTTGTCAGAGGGTGGCTGTTCTCTGTGGGATCCAGCCCTGTGTTGGCAGGCTTGGGCACAACCTGCAAACTCAAGCATATCCTGCCGTGCCAAATACGTTGTCAGCAGTGTGAATATTCAGTAACAAAATCTGTAAAGCCAGGATATTTTTGCCTTCTGGAGCCTAGAAGGAGCTTTATTTCAATATTGTACATTCAGCATGTAACATGCAAACTTCTTTCTGTGTGATGGATCAGTCAGCAGAGCCTACAAGTCAGCTATCACATGTGAGCCCACAGCGTGGTGTTGAGTGTATGGTGTGTTCATGACCCCTGTTCTTGTAGCTCTGCAGTCACATGGCTGGTTGTCACCATCAGAGTCACTACTTAACATCAACTGCCCATCCAGCACCCATTAACCAAGGACCCTACTGGATTTCCTTATCAGAAAGGCTAACAGCTGCTGTAGGTAACTGGTTTTCTTGCATTGCTCTAGCACTAAAGCACTGCTCTGCTGGGGTATTAGCCTATCACCCAACTAAAAATAAGTCCTTTATAACTTCCAAAGTATTACGTTGCTTGTTGTAGAAAACAACAGCTGCTTCTGATTCTTTAGTATCATTGAGCATGTGAACCTAGGAGCTGAAATCTCTCTTTAAAAATAAATAGGAGTTACATTTAGTAGGAGGAAGAGTCAGTAAACCACACTTGGATGTATTTTAGAAGGTAGGAACTGGGGGAGCAATGCTGATCCCATCGTAAGAGAAGATGAAGTTTGGAACCACCTGAGGAATCTGAGCATGGTAGGTCTGTGAGTCCCAATGAGATGCTGTTTTTCAGAACTAAAATTGGACTTTGGCTTAGATCATCATGGTGCTGCACAGCTGAGACTCGTGCTAGTGTTTTACTTTCTAACCTCTCAGCAGCATTACCCCACAATCCAGTGCATGATGTGATAAACAGAGAACGGTCGGCAAGGAAATTGGTGCATGTCTGAAGACTGAGCTCCTAACAGTAACTCACTCTTGTGTCTCTCTAGCTGATGTAAATGCTGTGTTCTTCAGGCAGTCCCAGCTGTTATTCCTTGGCTGGAGGAAAATTCTGTCATGCGTGTGATTAAAGTCAGTGGCTGTTACCTTAAAAAGAAAAAGAAAGGCTGCCATCAGGAGGGATGGCTTCCTGAGCAGGGCGGTGCAGCACACATAAAAAAAGGTGAAAGAAGAAAAGTGGGTTCTTGTCTTGATCGTTAGAGCAATCCATTTACATGATTAGTGTCAATTATAAGTGGGGAGAGATGCAGAATTGCAGGGCCCTTCAGGTTGTTTCAAGTATCCAGATCTACTAGAGTGTAAAACTGCAGCTGGGTAGGGGGAGGAAGGAGGAGTCATCCATAAGCTAAACAATCTGGTCTTGCACCTACTGGAATATGAGATAACAGTAATTAGGTGTAGAACAAAAGCTGAGAGTAAAGGAATTACTGAGTTTGACAAGCCCAACAATTTCTCCTCCATTTTTCAATATTAGAAATTATACTTGTAACAAATTATTCCTGTCTTTGGTGCGTCACAGTACAGGTAGATGTGTCAACCTCTGCCACGATCGCTTCTGAAGGATTTCTGTTTTCCCTTGAATTCTCTGATAAAAGTTGAGTATTGTTTTGGAGACTGTCAGTCTAATATTCCCACGGCAGCAGCGAAATAATTGGAAGAGATATAAAATGATGAATACTGATGATAATGAGTAAGGAGATGCTGGGAAATTGTTAGGCAGCTGGCAGGTTACATGAGAAGCTTGTGGTTTTAATTTAACGTGAAGGTAAAGGTCTTGATACAAACATGTATTTCTTCTCCCTTGCTCGCATCTGCTGTAACCAAGTAAACAATTCTGAATCACATTATGAGGACTGTCTGTTCTGCAACAGTTCTGAGACGTTTTCAGGAGGCATTTCACAAAGCAATGGAGTTGCTGAGGGAGGCACGACCCCCTGGATGGTCTGGTCCAGCCCCTGTGCTCAAGGTAAAGTCAGCTAGGGAAGGTCACTCAACAGGGAAGCATCCAGTGGGATGTTGTCTTCAAGGCTGGAGGTCAGTGTTCACCATCAGTGTGAGCCCACACTGGCATCCACAGCAGGTGAGATGCCCTTGGCCCATGAGGGCACATGGAGGATGCATTTTACTTTCATCCGACTGCTGGGGAGGAGACCAGAAGGATGAGGGAACTGGAGAGAGGAGGAATATCATGGAAGCTGCATTGTGGTGGGACGAGGAGAGTAGCAGTGATAGTTGGCAAGTCTGTAGGCAGGCAGATCGTGTTGTCTTTGCTTGCTGAATGTATGTTTTATAGCCCTGTCTTGATTTTGCTGGCTATTCTGCAGCTGTGTGGGTAAGAATGTGTGGGTTGCCAGTAAGCACACTGACTAAACGAGGCTTTATTCTGGTAGAGCTAAGTATCCACCAGCAATTCAGACACCAAGGGGAGTTCCATTACTTCATACTGATCTCAAGATCTGCATATTTTCGCATGCATCTGTCTTTTTTCCTCTATCTTGTTTGACCGTATTTGAGTTCATCAGCAATCAGACTGTGGTATGCAGTAATTTTTAGGGGATCTTTGCTCAGCACGCTCTTTGTCAGCACCACAAGCCTTGCACTGATGTGTGAGAGTTGTGCTATTCAGGTTGCTATAGTGGTAACTGAAGTCAAGGCTTCGAAACGACTGCTGCTTCATCTTGTATTATTATTAATTCTCAAGGAAACAGTACCATGGTTAAAAAAAAACCAACCAAAACCCAAATCATTATTGAATTCTGTACTGTATCATAGCTGACTTTGCGGCGTCACTCATTTCTTACCAAGAAACTCCAGTGGAAAAGAAAGTGCCCATGAATTTGCTGTGGGACGTGGGGCTATGGGAGAGAGGAGTTTGAGATCATCTGAGGAGTTCTATATATACCCACGGAAACAGTAAGAAGATACTGCTATTTGAAACTTCTTATTGTAAGAAATGTTTTGACAAACGTTATGATTAATCGTTACAACACTTCAGGAATCTCTTGGTCTTCACTGATACTTCCTGTCTGGCTGAGATATGTCAGGAGACTTCAGGACAGCTCTCCAGATGGTTCTTCCTACAGGATGATCCCATTAATCTTTGCCCAAAAAGTGTGTATGGACATCAGTAGGCTACAACTTGACCTTCTTTCTACCTTTGCCCCTTCTTTCGCTTCATTTTGTTGTCTTGGTGCCTCTCTTTCACCCAGAATCCCAGCTGGTGATCCCTGAAATTGCTGGAGCAGATGTGTGTGTTTGAGCTGCAATCTGTGTCAGACTTGCAGGTTCCATGGAGTGCCAAACCTTCCAACACAGCCCTTCGTACCACAAACACAGCTGACCTGTGGAGCCAGGACGGCCGCCTCCGTCCCTTGACCAGTTCCATGTACGTTTATTTTATTCTGCTGCTCTTCCAGAGAGAGTGACCAGAATAGATCCGTGCCTCCAGGAACTCTCCAGCCTTTTGATTTGTGCATCTAAGAATGTAGGACACAAATTAGTATGTTTTTATCTTCAGCTTGTTCGGAGCTGGACTTTGTCAACAGCTCGATTGATGCAATTGGCTCTTAGCTCAAGGAGGAGCAGGCAACAGAAAGGCTGCTTGTGCTCGTCAAGAGAGGGTATTGTTGCAGCTAACAAGGGGAGGCATGCCCACGTCTCGCTCTCATTATGTTTGCTTCAAGCTGGCATTGTCAGGCCCTCATTTTAATGTTGTTTGCATTGCAGAATATTTGAGTCAATGCGTTGCTTAGATTAGTGCAGCCTCGTCCTTGCTGTGCTGTTTACATTCTCGTGTTTCAGCTTCTGTTGGACTGGGATCTGCCTTTGTCCATTGTTGGGTATAAGGTTTTCCACTTAACCTCATTCCCATGTTTAAACTGATAGCTCCACGCTGCCCCTGGTCGTGCTGGGATTTCTCTTGCTAATAGGAAGAAGCTGGTTCTGAACATGATCTTCAAGAGCAGCACAGAACTGTGACGTGATGGAAGAGTGAGGGCTTTATAACCTTCTTCAGGTTAAAAAAGAAAAAGAAAAAAAAAAGCAGCTTGCATTTATTCCTGGATACTGAGCCAAGTATCTCTGTCCCAACGTTTTCTAAGAGGGGTTATGAAACACCTCTTGCTCTAATTAGATGCACCCACAAAGTCTTCCTGAGGTATTGAAGTGGGGTTTTTTGGAAGCTGCTTAATTTTTGCTGTTTGTTTTTCATTGCTTTGATTGCAGCTGAGCTGTCTTAGTAGGAACAACAGAACCATCCCAGTCCAAACCCATCTTTGCAAAAGAGCGCACCCTGTGAGTCACTGCATTTAGCTATCTCCTTGTTTTCTACAGGAAATCCTTCACTTCCTTAGCACAGCCAACCTCCCTGTTTGATGGTGGTTGTGCTGAAATTGCAGCGACCACGAAGGATCTGCATTTTGTTTTTCCCCCAGCATATGTGTGTTTTCCTTGGATTTCCTCCCCATTTTGTGCTGCATCCCTATGACAGCCTTGAAACCTTCCCCTGCTGAGCAGAGAGTGCATTAAGCAGCGTGTGCAAACGAGCAACGACACAACTGCTAATTGTGCTAACGGATGTAAATAGCAAAAAAGTTCCTCTTCTAATTCTAATGGTATTTATAGGAACCATTACCCACCTTTCGTAACGCTTTGATTACGGATGGAGCCTCTTTCTGCCTCCCTGAAGTTGATGAAGCTTTTGCAGGTGGTTTGACTGGCTGAGGTGATGGCAGAAATGCAGATGTTTGCAACCTTTTGATTTACGTGTGTTAAGGCAGGTAGGAAAGCTGCTGTTTCACGTTCTGCAGACAAATGTGTGGCTTTGGGAGAAGTCTGTGCTGAGCTCCCCCTCCCTGTGCCTGCAGGGCATGACTTGTGGAGGGGATGACTTGCGAAAACTCTCTCTCCAGACCCAGACAGCTCTGATTTCCTCCTCTGTGGTCATTTAGCCATTAAGATGTCAGATCCTGAAGACATATCCTCTCTTGGGAATGAGTGACATCCTCACAGGTGGAAGTGTGTTTGTAGCATCTGTGTAATTGGGATGATTGAGGTGATTGTTTCTCAGGGCTGTTTCCTGCAGGCAGTTCCAACAGCTGTATCAGCAAGGCTTCCAGGAGCAGAGCATCTCTGTGCTCGCCGGTGGGGAGCGTAGTTTTGCCCAGGGCCACGTGGAAATGACTCAGTACAGACCCAGGTGGATGTTCTTGTCTGCAGCAATCTGGCTAAAGCGTAAGCATTACAAAGCAGATCAGTCAGAGTCAGGGCAAAGCCTGAGTCACTTGGCTCTGCAGCTGGAGGACCAGAGCACTCCCAGGAGCCGAGTGAGGACTCCTCTTTGGAAGGTGAGGGTGGTGGTGATGCTGTGCTTGGGCTTGAATCTTCCTCTGCAGGACTTAGCTGTAGGCCCTGACCACCTCAGCAGCTTTCACGCCTCCTAATCCTTGGCCTTTTTGTCTACTGAGCACCTCAAAGTGCTTCACTTTACACGGTGCACACTGGCCTCCTCCCTGAGCAGCAGTCCAGCAGGTGCATCAGTGCCACCACTCCCATCAGTTCACTCACATCAGTTCAGACAGTTGACCTGTGAGAGCAGCAGTTTGAGGGGAAAAATGTCCAAAAACTGATGCTGTGGGGACTGCACAGAGACTGGTGTGAGTGTGGTGGGGACACTGTGCTGTTTTTCACCCTCCCTTCTCTCCAAGTCCTCCTTCGTGCAACTGAAATGTAATTACAGGGCTCAGAAAATGTGTAAAATGATGTAGAAGCTGAGCTCTAAATGAAACAGTGCCAAGAAAATCACAGCGAGGTAGGAATGTGGATTGGAAAAAGGCCTGATCCTGGAGATCTTTGTGTTTCATTCAGCTCCTTTCTAAAAGAGAGTGGGAGTGCAGGGGCTGATGGATGTGAAGACTAATTTTTTCCTACAAAATGGAAAAGAAAAGTTGCTCTAAATGTGTTCTATGGGATTAATAGGCAAACCTACCCAATTACTGTGTCCTCCTCCCAAAGCACTGAGTGGGGCTGAGCAACATGAGCAGATTGTGGCTTGCTTACTGGTGAGTGGTAGAGCCCAGGATTCCACTAACATGCCTTTCAGTGAAGCCGTAAAGAGGGTCCTAACAGAAACCATTTGGGATTTAACCCTGCTGATAAACTCTGGACTAAAATAATGTCGTGTTGAAATAGTGGAGGTTTAAATTGCTATTTGGTGTTATTATGTGGGTCCATATTCTTAAATAAAACAACTCTGAGACGGCAGCTTTTTCAGAAAGCTCCAAGCTTGTTGTGTTCAAACAGAAGCTCAGTGAGTGCTGGACTTTGGTCTGTGCTGTAACCTAGTTTTCAGCACAGTGATATTGTGAAATATGTTGTGGCTCATATATCACGCTCTTCATCTGCTGATTAATTCTGAGTTTCCCTTCAGTCGATCGATGCCCCAGTGTGATTCTCAGCAGATGAAGCAGGGTTTTGGCCAGCATTACTCATGCAGTACATACTTCCCCATGGACCCGTTGTGCTCACGTACTGCTCTGACCTCCCTGCAGCTCGGGGCAAAACTGCTTTAGGTCTGCTCTAAAATGGCTTTTTGCTCATGCATGGGTCTAAAGCAGACACTGCCACATCGTGGGTATCCACCAGCTCTTGCTCATCCCTGGGCTGTTGCTCTCTTCTGCTGACCTTCCATCCCCCAAGCGAGACAGGGCTGCAGGTGCTGCTCCCAGGCATAAAGCCCAGCCTTGCATCTCCTGGTGGGGAGAAGCACCACACTGGGAAAACCCATGGGCAGCACTGGCAGCCTCTTACTCCATCTGTGTGCTATCTTGAAGCTCATGATGGAAACGCTGCGCCCTGAAGTTGATGAAAGGCAAATTAAAATTAGATTTCCCTTTTGAAAAGCTTTAAAAAGTATTTTCAGCATTCCTTGATGGCCTTTCAAGGCTTAATGGCTGGCCGGGGTTGCTTCTGATGGAGCGTCGTGCACTGTAGCATCTGTGCTGCTGGAGTCAAATGTCACAGCTACAATCAGCCCTCTCCCCTTACAGTGGCCTCACAGTGCCACTGACGGGGCAGGCAGCTGTCCCAGCAGGGACAAGGCAGGAGCCCAGCGGATGGGTCCCTGGCAGCAGCAGTCTCCCACTCTTCTCCCTCTCAGCATCCAGACCATGGGGTGCAGGACTTAGGATCCTCCTTCGTAGGGTAGAAGCAGGGGGCAGAGAGCAGCAGGGCTCTCACCTAACGTGGTGATGGCTGCTTGCTTGCACTGCCCGCCCCAGCCCCACTCCTGCTCTCCCTTAGCACTCCTGCAGGATCCCGTGCTCCTCTTTGTCATGCAGAATGCAGACTGCTCTGACTAATTCCTTGCTTCTGATTATTCAGTGCTGCACACCAACAGATGTGCACGTAGGAAAGTGCACACTGTTAATCAGGGACTGTTGAGCCATATGGCATGTGAAGATGGAATATTACAGCTCCGTAATGAGAACCTCCTTCACATACAGCAAGGACAGCCGTAAGGCATTCTCACCAGTGCTGTCAGCTCCTTTGTCTGGTGATAACTTGTAAGTGAGGGCGTGGAGTCCTGGAGCACCCCTTGGCCGAGGTCCAGCTCCTGTGAGTTGGGTTCAGAGGCCCTGTCTGTCCGTTTCAAAGCATGGGACCGGCTCCTGAGCCACCTGTAGGTACTGTAGTTACAGTAGAGATGCAGCTGGCTCTGTTGCATGTTCAGTGCTATTTCTTGGCCATCTTCCCAGCTTGTTTTAGTGACCCAGGGCAGCGGGCACCACGGAGCCCTCTGTTAACCCATCCAGCTCCCAGCAAATGGGGGCTGTAAGCAAGAGTGTCAGCAGTCGTAGATGGTTGCAAAACCAGAAAAAAAAAACGTGTTAGAAAGGGTCTTAATTTGGGTTACTGTCCTGAAAGATGGGTGGTGTTGCCTTCTTGCACTGATGTGTGGAGTCAGACCCGATGGTCCTTATGGGTCCCTTCCAACTCAGGTTATTCTGTAATCAAGCTCCATTCCTCACTAATACAGTGAGTCCAAGTCTTAGTGTATCAGGTGCAGCGCTGTGACCGACGTGCTCCAATGCTGTCATTGCCCAAGGAGAGCCTGGGTGCTCGTTTTGCTGCTGTGAGGGATCAGCCTGTGATACCCAGGGTGCCCACCATGACTGCAAATGAGATTTCCAGCACATTTGCCATTATGAGTAATCGTCCCAGTTTGCAGCAAAGCAGCCCGCAACTTGTCAGAGCTGAACACAAGTTCAAGGTGTCACTTATTTTTGGTGGTGTGATATTTCAGCTGACTCGAGGTACCTGGAGACAGCTTGAGACTGGGGAGTGGCTCAGAGGCACGTAGTTTGTAACCTTGTAAGTTTGTGTTTTCAAAAACACTCCAGTGTGATGCACAGCTTTCCTATCCGCCGGCAGGATTGGAGCTGGCTGACACGCAGGATCTTGTTTAAAACAAGGTGTTACATCCCTTCCATCAGTTCCTTTGCACACTTAAGGTGTGTGCGGGGTGTCTGTGCAGTGGTGGGTGTTTATTTCGTGGTAATTCTGCCTCTGCTTCTCCCCAGGAGGACTTCAGGAATAAAGTTGAAGATTACATGAAGCGCTATGCGAGATGATGAAGGGCGATGGCCAGCAGGACCACGGCTTCCATGCTGTCTTTAACTTCAACAACACCAACCAGAAGAAAACCAGCCCGGACTGTACCAGTCCAGTGTCCATGTTGTACCGAAGAAGAAACCTAACTTCATAACTTGTCCATGTTAAAAGGAGAGTTCAGCATCAATACAGCAAGAAATTGTGTTTGTTGGTTGAAAAAAAAACAAAAAAAAACAAAAAAAAACCCAAGTTGTTTGCTTACTTTTAAAATGTTTACTCTTCTGAACTGTACTGTATATCCTGTTGATGAGATATGCTTGACAAGTTAAAAGAAATCACTATTGGAATTGTAATTATTATTATTATTTTTTTTTTAAACCTTTTGCCTCGTTTGGGGAAAAAAGAAAAAGCCAAAAGCAAGCAGGTGGTGTGGGTTTGGAACACTTCAAGTTGGCAATAAAATGGTCTCCTGTGAACCAAATCACAATCCTGTTGCTTTTGATGAGCAGGAACTGTAGGAGCTTTGTCCAGGAGCTGCTGGAGTCAGGCAGAGTGCTCTGCTGAACGCCCCCTGTGCTGCAGCACTGGAACTCCCATGGTGTTTAATGTAAGTCCCTTCTTGTCACAAGTTTGGAATTTTTACAGTGCTGTTTTCAGCTCCTGTTTGGGCCACGGTGGGTTTTTTGTGTGCGTGTGTGAAGTAGTTAAAAGGAATATAAGGCTAATCTGTAACTTAAGTGATTGTGTAGTATTAGTAACATCCTATATATATTTTATATATATATATATATTTCTGTGGAAAGGTAATGAAAGGGAGATTTTTTTGTTTAAGAAATCTGCCTTTGCCTTCAGCTGGGGACGCAGTCGGGGGGATCAGTTACCATGACCCTCAGCAATCACTCAGCTCCATGCTGTGTGGGGGCACTTTGCTGACCCTCTGCTGGTGCCCTCAGCTCCCACTGCTCACCCTGACCTCGGGGGGATTGCACAGCAGCTTTTATACGTAGATAAACCCGGGAATAAATGTTGGTGTGGTTTCATACAGAGCGCTTGTTGTGTTGTGCAGTGGCCAGGTCTCTCAGTCCCCTCCTCCTCTGTGTGCACAGGGCAGCTGCAGCGGGTTGCAGCAGCCTTGCTGGCTACGTTTCCCTCCTGCAGGTGTTACTGGAGGCCCAGAAAAGTGAGGAGATGTGTGGATGGCACGTGGCAGGAGCGCCTTGTCTTTAGATAATGCAGCCTTTGTACGCATTGGGAATGAAATGTGGAGCAGCACGTTCCTTGGAGCAGGAGGTGACTGTGGTGGATCTCTGCTGCCTAAGTGGTAATGTCAGGGAGGGTAGGGAGAGAAGCACACACAGGCAGGGTGGAAAGCACGTTCAGTTTTCACTAGTGCCAGGGATGAACCCCTCCACGAGGTTGCGGGGGGCAGCAGGCCTGCAGGGGTGCTTTGGGGCTGCTCTTGGCCCACGCTTGGCACGTGCCCCGTTCCAACAGCCTCCCCACTGAAATCCTCATTCCACAGGCTGAGTGTAATCCCCTAGCTCTGTTTCTCCCCTCAGCTTCCATATCTCACCTGAAGATTCCCCTCCTTTTTCCCCCCATGCCTCCCTCCCCTGGGCTTGGTTTGGAGGTGAAGTCCTCCCCTGGGCACCTAAAGGAGACCCACAGGGACGCAGCGGGGCAGCAGGGTGGGGGTTTAGGGACCCTCAACCCACCCGGAGCCTGGCTTCGTGGAGGGGATGCACCAAAGACTGCCACCTGCTTTACTTCTGCATGTATTTATTTAATTAGGAAAAGCACCTAATTCCCATTGTTCACTGGCCCTGGGGCACCTCCAAGGCCATCAGTGCCGCTACTGGTATCACCTGCCAGTATGAAGCAGTGACCATCACCCATCTCTCCACCTGTAGTTGGAGCCTGTCTGCAGGTGGGCAGGGGGAGAAGGTGCTTTTCCTGCCGATACAAAGGGTAAAACAACAAAAAAAGGATAAAAAGTGAAGGCTTTATCATCCAGGCTGTGCCCTGACCCGTTGTCCTTGTGGTTATGGCACGTCCCAGTGCTGTGCTGGCACCAGAGGCAGGACACGGACCCCTGCCTTGTTTTTTTTCCCCCCATTTTTCCATTTTTTCCTTTTTTCCCCCCAGTGGATGCTGTAGGCTGCCGGGAGGGAAGCAGGGAAGGTCTGAGCAGAGCTGTGGCACTCTCCCATTACCCAGCGAGCAGCATCCTCAATGCCACCAGCATCCCCAGGTTGTTAAGGATGGATTTAATTGGAAGCCACCACCTGGGAAGGGGCCAGCAGGGGACGCAGCGGCACCAATGGGGCTCAGCACCCAAGGATGCTCCTTGGCCAGGTTCTCCCCTACAAACCATCTCTAAACGATGCCCTCGCTGCGTTTGCTCCGCCACACCACCAGCGCTGTCACCAGCAGGGTGACGAGGATGGGCACCAGGATGAAGGGGCAGAGGATGCCGTTGGGGGGATCACGCAGCGCCCGGCCGGATGGGGAGCAGTTCCTGAAGTAGTGGCTGTGGACGGCGACGAAGAACTCATCCACCAAGCGGTTGGGCCAGTAGCAAGTGAGGTTCTCAGCCACCGCGACCGTGCAGTTCGTCAGCTCCCCGTAGGTGCTGCAAGACAGACAGGGCACTGGCTTGGCAACAGTGGGGGACTTGGGTCCTCACCAGCCTCCCGTCGCCAGGTGCTTCCCACAGACCCCACTAAAATGGATCCACCCAGCCCTGTATTCCAACAGAAAGGTTTGTGATGGTAAGAGTATTATTGTGCGTGTAATGAAGGTAAAATATAATAACCAAGATGGGATATAACATTCCATAATAGAAGTATGGTTGTATGTATGTCAGAAAACATATTTTCTATCATAGAGATCATACCTTCTGTTGGAGAGGTGTCTGTATGTGCACACAGATACTTGAGACTGGGTAGCCAGGGACAGAAAAAGGTTTCTTCTAGTGAGCCACTTTGTAAAGGAAGGGGGAGGAAAACGAAAGAAGGCAAGAAGCTCACTTTTACTTTCTAAAGGAAAGGGAAAGAAAACAGTGTCTTCCACTGCAAGGTCACTGTTCAAGACAGTGCATCCCACAGACACTTGGGAAGCTGGCGATAAATAGAAATGCCTGGGGTGTATTCTTAGCAGGGTGACAGCCTGGCGGCCCCTCAGCAGCCAGAGCTGAGTGACGGCTGCAGCTGGCTGCATGCTGGCACTGCGGTGGTTCGTCCTCCTCCATTCCCACCACACAGCGTGCATGTAATTTGTTATTCAAATCTGCCTTCCCAAAGCAAGTGGCAGCTCACACAGCTTCCCCGGCTACATTTCTTCCTGGGGAGGATGCTCAGGCTGTGGTGCTGTGCAGGGCAGCGCTGCAGCCGATGCTTCTGGAGGCAGAGACGTGTGGATGTGGCTCGGATGGACATGGACTGGTGGTGGGGCTCAGCTGACTGATGGTTGGACGCTCTGTTCCAGAAAGGTTTCAAGAATCAAAATCCCTTGGCTTGGGGGGAAATATGGAGAACAAACAACGAGGCTCTAGGCCCAGAACGTCCTCTCCTCCATAACCCGAGGCTCGTGTTCCCACGGAGCAAACGAACTCGTGCAATCAAATTAAACACTGTGAGTTTATCAACATTTCCTCCAAGCGCCTCAAGGATAATAAGTTTAGCAGAAGCTATTGAGAAGAAAATCAGGATGTCAGAGATAAAGAAGCAGCTCCCTAATACAACTCTGCTTCCTGTGCTGTGGCCTCACCGAAGATCTGGAGATGGATTGCACCTCATCCAGCTCACAGGTGGCCCCGAATCAGGAGGTGCACTTCCCCTTGCTCAGAGGCAGCAGCCCCAGACATCATGAAAACAAAGAGATGTCCAATGCACTCTGTGTTACAGAAAAGAACAGAGTAAGGGCTAATGCTGGTCTCGCAAACCCACTGAATCTTTCAGGAAGTCAGATTTTGGGGCAGATGAGGTTTCCCAGAAGCAGAACATCTCCCACACAGTCTTCCTGCTCTTTCTCGCCTCAGTTTTATCGTTGATAAAGAGGAAGGAAAACCCAAGCTGTCATTTTTGTAGGCTACATATGTGTTTACATACACACAAATGCACAGAGAGGAAGATATCAATTTGGCACAGAAGAGGAGGAACAGGCAGGAAGTTAACCAGAAAACTGTATGTTTGTGCAACACACTCATGGCACGTGGCAGCATCTGCTCTCCCTTTCCAGCTGCTCTCCATTTCCAGCTGCCCTCAATCCCCAGCTGTGTTGCAAGAGCTTGCTTTTGTACACTCTTCTGTCTCTCAAGAGAAAGACCATGCCCCGATGTTGGATGAGAGCACAACATGCAAAGTGAGCTCTGGTGAGAGCAGCCCAGGACCCTGCTTCTCATCTGCCACGGATCGCTGCTAATTCCCTGACACTGATTATGAGCAGCAGAAGGCTGCCATGCCCTACCAACAGCACGCCAACCTCTCCTCCAAGATGGCAGGAAAAATCAACATGCGACTTCTGGACGCGAAGGGCAAGCCTGTAGGACAGCCTGAGACTTTAAATACAGAGGGTGTCTCACACTAAGGGAGCATGGGATCTCTGGGTCCCTCTGGCCCAGCCCCTGCTCCAGCAGAGACACCCAGAGCAGGGTGCCCAGCACCACGTCAAGGTGGGTCTGGAGGGTGGGTCCGAGGAGGAGGCCCCACAGCCTCTCTGGGTACCTGTGCCAGGGCACTGTCACAGTACAACAAAAAAGCAGTGTGAAATGGCACGTTTGGTCCATTGTGGAAGAAAACCCATTGCTGAACTCAGTCCATCCCCAAATCAAATATGGGTGCAAGAGGTCCCTGATGCGGTACCACTCACGCTGTCCCTTAGGCTCGCCAGCTCTGACCTGGCTCTCTTTTGGGCTCATGAGGTGTTCTGGAGAGGAAGACCCACACTTACCCCATGGTCTCATCCCAGTCGCACCACAGCTGCTGCCCGATGCCCTCCATGCTGAGCTTGAAGGGTCGCAGGCAGCGCTCGCGGATCTGCCTGCCGTACTCGGCCTCATGGCACGCCGTCGCCGCGATGAAGTGATGGGCTGAAAAGACAGGCCAAGGGGTCGGGTCGTGGGTCACCACCTCCCCATACTTACCATGGGAGTAGGCAGGGAACGGCACCCATAACTGAGCCCTGCCCTGAGCCAGTGCTTGGAGCTCAACCCATCTGCCAGAGCACCGCAGGAAGTAAAGGCAGCCCTGCTCTTAGACAGCCCCTTAAAAACATGCCGTGCTTTTTGTCATTTTCCCCTCTCCCCACTTATCATCAGTTCCCTTCCCCATCATTTGCAGTTACTTGTCCAAGTGCCTGATGCCTGAATCAATTATTCACAGCGTGTTCTCCCAGGTAAGGCATGAATAAGAAAGGATGCAGCCTTATCCTCTGCTGATGGCACGGACTTCAAATTCAGTGCTCTTGTCAAAAACCAGCAGCACAGACAGGTCCTGTCTGAAGAACTCCTTACAAATTACCTGCAAGGCGCTGTGCCTCCAAACAAATACCCATCTCTGCATAGATGGAGTGCACCAGCACCAAAATACTGTCGCCACCAGTCTGAGCTCTGCCACAGAGGGGTTTGGGATCAGAGGAGAAAGATGCTTCTTGTGGACTCCACTAGTGGAATTTGGGGCATGAAGACTGCACTGGAGAAAGGCTGCAGGGAGTGACTGTGAGCAGCACGACTGGGCTCCCATACGAGCTGTGTTTTTGGATGAATTTGTGCCATTTTTTCTATGGAAAGCAGCAGCAATGTTACACAGGAATCAGGCTGAAAGAAAAACCTTAGTAGGAATGATTTACTGCAGCTGGCTATAAATAATACCTTGCTCTTGGTCCCAAAGTGCCTGCCGGTGCCTTTGCAGCTACTGGAGCACATTGCAGGCAAGCATCGCATTCCGACTCTATTTTTTGCTACATGTGAATAGCTCAGTGCAAAAGCTGGAGGAGAAGGGGGTATTTTTTATTTCATTTCTTAACAAAAGAAATAATTTGCGCGTGGTTTAGCTGCAGAAATGTTGGCCTTGGGAGCAGCGGGCTGCGATGGCCAAAGTCGTCCACGGGAGCAACGCTGAGCACAGGGTGCAAAGGGAGAAAGCAGGGCTTGGAGAACAGACTGAAAAGCAGGCAGGAGAGGAGCCAAGGGGAACTGGGAGCAAAGCAGGAAGCGGAGCCATGCAGAAGCAAGCAAGGCACGCAAAGCAGAGAGAGGAGCCGGGGAAGAGAAAGCTGCCCTGAGAAATTCAAGAGCAATACAACGTGAGGAAAAGCAGAATTTAACTGAGCTCAGCCTGGCTGCCCGGAGCCAATTAGCACAGATGAGATTGGAGACAGGTCATCCACTTGTACCAGCACAACAACTATTATTAGCGAAGCCCCAGCATTTCCTGACATCTGTTCCCGAATAACAGACACCGTGGCCACTTCCTAGAGGAAAACACCTTAATTGGCAGCTCCACCTCGGTTGGAAAGACAAGAAGCAACCACAAGCCATACCTGAGCAGTTGCAAGCTACAGCTATCTCGTATCCAGCACGGAAATGAACTCCAGAATGAGAAAATAAAAGTTAAAGACACAAAGAAATCAAACCAAGCAAAAACACGACCCTTGGGAGCTTTTAGTGCTTGCCAATCAAAGCAACTCAAAGGCATGGATGGGCTGAGTATGGCTGTGAGCAGCTGGGAAAGAAGTGGCAAGGCATATGAGGAGTACCTGAACTACTGTTCAGGTCCCTCGGTTTGCTGTGCTGTTAAGGAAATGCCACTAAATGAACACCCCTGTGACACCCCTGGATGGCACTGGATGTAGAAGGAGTACGTTGCCCATGGATGTGTTAGCAATCAACCCAGTTGCAGCTGGACTGGCAGGCTTTCCTGGTGAAGAGCCCTCAGGGCTGCACAGCAGGGAGCAGAAAACAGCTGGATATTCAGCTAAAAGCTCGGAGGTGTAATTAAACCCCCAAAGGTTGCAGACCACTGCTAAGTGACAATCGCAGCAGGGCGAGCAGTGAACAAGCACATTTATCTACAAGCCAGCAAAGCTTGTAGGACTTCAAGGACTAAAATCCCAGCATTTTCTCCCGAATGCTACAAAACCCCACGTGAAATCATTTGCTTTCTGAACAAGTCCAGGCTGAAATCGCTCCGCTTTCCCCCTCCTGTCTGCAGGTTTGCTCTGTTGCACTGAGAATGAGCTCTGTGGCTCAAACTCCGCAGCACCAGCGAGTGCTCCCAGCACTACAGCTAAGCCCACAGCTTCCAGCCGTGCCCACATGCAAGCAGATGGGCTGTGGTCTGCCTGGTGCGCCCAAACCACCCACAGCACAAACTTGTGGTGGCACCAAAACTTAGTGCAGAGACATTGCTGAGAGCTCTGTGCTATCAATAGGGCCCTGCAGACAGCCTTCCCTCTCCTCGGAAGAAACCCTGGGCTGAAGCTCTGTCACGCTCAGGCACCTCTGGTGGCAGAGCTCCACGGTCAGTATCTCATGGAGCATCTGTTACAGCGGTTTCCTGTACCTGCAGCCAACTTCTCCCCATTCAGGTTTACACAGAGCAGCTGAGGTACGATTTAATCCAATCCAAACTACTGGATTAAAATTAAAACAGGACTGACTTTTTGCCTGATAGCAGAACTGCTAGATGCTGTTAGCTAATAAATAAATGGCAACAGGCAGCCCCGGGCTGCTCCAGTTCCTCCCCTGACCTCAGTTCCCTGTGCGGAGCAGCAGGAGAGACGCGATGTTCTTGTCAGGTGCTGGTGGCTGTCAAGCACATTTCCTGGAAGGCAACTTCTCTTGGATGTCCCTGGACTTAACTCCATGCAGGACAGAGCAGCAAATGCTCTTTTTTCCAAGAAAAAAAAAGCACCAAACCAAAACAAAAGTGATTTAGAGCATAGGTAAAATAAAGACCAGATGAAGAGGGGAGGAACTATGAATCAGAAGCCGGGCACGCTGCACACCAACTGCTGGCTGACTGCACACCAAAACCTGGCATGAGCAGTTAGCTATAATTACATCCTTAATGAATAGCGTGGGCTTTATAAAAATTATCTGCCCTGGTTAAATTATTGCAGAGGAGCACGGGTTTTCATTACCCAATACTCCCAAAGACCGTGGGGTTGCAAGGAGGAGGACAGAGGGACCTGCATGCTCACCCTGCTGGGCTTTGGGGCTGATCAGAAGGATGCTGAGGCGACCTCTGCCTGTGTGTGTGCATCAGGAGGAGGGTCAGCACCACAGGCACAGATGCTGGAGGTCAGTTTGGGGACAGCAGTGCTCTGATCACGTTGCTTGGCTTCCCAAAGCATTTGTCTGCGTTGAGCTGGGTGCATTCCGCTGTGCACAACTAGGGGCTGCTTTATGGAACTACCTTTGAGATCTAAAAAAATGGCTCCCGGACACACATAACTCACTCAGCTGAGCACACAGCCTACAAAGAACAAAATAAATAAATATAAAAATCCATTAGAGCAAAGGAAAATAAACAGCCCCAGTGTCTTGCTGATGCACTCATCCCAGGCTGCAAAGAATTACGGCTCGCCTAAATACTTTCAGCATGCATTTTCCCAGCTAGAGAACAATTTATTTCACTTTTTTAAGATGGGTTTCTTGATGCAGGCTATTTTTCCCTTCCAGCTGAATAATGCACTTCTCTCCTGCTCACCCACACAAAGCACAGATGGCTTCCCACCAAGCCTTACCTAAAAAGACGTGGCAATGCCGGCACTGATGGCACAGCGACCCAGCAGAGCACGAAGCAGGTCTGAGCCCAGGCTCACTGTTGCCTTTTCGCATACGGAGGCCAACATCTCTCCTCACGAATAGGAACCTTCAAGTCCCCTCTGTTCCAGGACCTAATGCAGCCAAATGTTGTGATAACCCTGCAAATCTGCTTGGGTTTAACAGAAATAATGTGGTTTTCTGACAGCCTTGACCTGGGATCACTTCATCCATCTGCACCAGCAACAACCAAGCTCCACACGCAACCTGGCCCACAGGGAACTCCACAAATGTGGAAATCAGGCAGCAGAGCCCACAGGAGAGTCTGCTCCTGCCAACAACAAGCTGCCCCAAGCTTCCAGCTGTTTCACCTTTAATGGCAGCAGGTACCTTGGGACACAGCTGGCACTCCAGTGTGGCAAGCAGGGCTGGGCTTATTTTAGACGATCCCCCATCTGCAGCCAGCTGCTTAGAGCACCAACAGAGCATTTTTTTGCTAAGAGGAAAGCTCAACTGGTGAGGCTGGCAGGAAGATGGTGAAGAGGAAGGGAAGGTGCTCCTGGCCAGCAGCCGCGGCTGGGCTGACTTGACACAGAAGTGACCAACTCAACAGAGACGCAACAAAGCAGTCTCAGCCTCTATCTGGCTCCCCCAGTTTTATTCTGGATGCCATCCAGGCATCTGAAGCGTCTGTATTCCTTTCATAACACCGAAACAGAACCAGCTGGCCTCCCTGAGCACTTCTGCATTGCGCTGCACCATGAGACCGCAGCTCAGCACGAGGAGCTGCAGTGGCACGGCAGCCGGGGCTCAGCAAAGCCCCTGCACTCTGTGAGAGCTGAGCTCTCTGTGTTTGCCTCAGCACTTACACAGCAAGCTGCCAGCACTTCTATTAGCACAGCTTGTTTTATCTTTTCTTTCTAAAAAAGAAAACCCACACCTGCTTCATCAGAAGCATCAGCAATCTCCACCATTCACCACTCCACTGTCTCAGTGGTCACCCCCAGTGTGGCCACATCTGTCCATGGCAACAGAGCAGCAAGGAACAAACAGGGTTTTTTTCTTTTAATTTTTTTTTTTTTCCCAACTAGAGCAGAACATACTTTAAAAAAAAAAACAAACAACCAAAACCTACAAAAGGACACAGCGAGAGAAATGCATCCCCAACTCAGCGCCAGGATTAGCTGCCATCCATCACAGCTAAAGGCTTACACAGAGGCAGACGTCCTGCTGCGAGCCCTGAAAGTGGAAAAGAGCAGCCTGGAGTACCACCAGCTCCCACTGTCTTATTTAAAGTCCCTGAACCCAAACCACGTGGTGGAAGGTGCAGCAAAAGAATGAGCAGAGGTCCTGCAGCTGAAGCAGGGAAGCTTACGGTTAATGACAGCGCAGGGATGAGCCCATCACAGCACACAGCTCCATGCATCATTCAGCAGGGTTACCAGGAGAAAACCTGCACTGGAGTGCAAATAGGGGAAAAACAAATCTACGTTTCTTCAAAGAGCACTTGAGTTTCGTGCAAGAGTAGCTGCACGGCACTGTGCAGCTTGTTTTCTAAGCAATCTTACACACACTTCTTATACTAAAGCACAATCCTAAGGCTTTTACTGGCTAGACTCAGGTTATAAGGCAATCCTCCACCTGTTGCACACGAAGCCCTACCAACATCGAGGAGACCTCATGCCTCGTGAAAGCAGGTGGGTGATGCAGGAGTTCCCAAAGTGAATGGCAGTCTCCCACCTGCCAATCCATCCCCAGCTCAGAAGGGTGGCCAGAAGGAGCGCTTCTGGCTGCATCCTCTCCTCGTGCCCGGTTCAGAAATGGAAAATGGCAAAACCCCTCTTAGAGCAGTCACCCCGTCGTTAATTTCCGTATTAGAAGCCAAAGGCAGGGGTTGTCTTCTGGCACGAGTGCTCTTCAGTGCTTCTCACAGAGGACCGTGTTGGACGGCATCACCGCCTGCACGCGCAGAGCCCAACTTCGATCGTTTCTCAGCACTTGGAAACAAACGCTCCTTCCCGTTCCCCCCGCGGCCGGCAAAGCTCGGGCAAAGCCCACACAGCCCGCGTTCAGGAGCCTCTCCCGGAGCCCCCGCTCCCCCCTGGCTGCCGGCGCAGCCCGCGGCACTCACCCAGCACGAAGCAGAGGAAGCGGCGCGGCAGCAGGGCCATGGCCGGCAGCGAGGGGCCCGGCTGCCGCCTCGCCGGGAGCTGCCGCGCGATCGCGCCCGTCCTCGGTGCTCGTTTCTAACAGAAATCAAACGAGTTCGAACAGCTCCACCTGCAGCCCAGCCGCGGCTCCTCGGGAATCGCTCTGTTACGGACATCCCTCTCCGTCATCGCAGCAGCACGCCGCCCTCTGTAAAGCATCGCGCCCGTCTAATCGCACAATTAGGGAGCGCAGAGGGCAGCGAGCGCCGTTAGCAGCGCGCTAGGGCAAAGCCTGCCGCTGCGCTCAGCTGGGCGCCCGCGGGGGGGAAAGCAAAGCGGAGGCCTGAGCTGCGGCTTCAGGACGAACCAGCAGCGGCGCCTGGCAGCGCAGCGCCGGGCCCTGGGGAAGCGTTTGCAGCCGCGGTTCTGTTGAGGGGAGACAAAACGGGTGAGATTTGGAAACAGCAAAAGAGCGGCACAACTCTGGGAAGAAGGCATCGCAACCTTTATTCACCGTAAGGAGGCAGGGCAAAGCCCAGCCGAGGGACGGAGGTGCGATGTGATGCGCGGTACCACAGCACTACCGTCAGTGGCCACCACGGCAGGCACACGCCTCAGCTGCCAGAAGAGGATGGAAAACCCTGGGAGCAGCTCCACACGCAAACAAAAGGCTGCGTGCTCCCGCATCACCCCGAAGCAGACCTCAGGGAGAGCACGTCCAGGAGAGGCTTTCCCCTGTGCTGTGCTGCAGCATGCAAAAGGAAGGCTGACAGGCCCAGCTCTGCAGGGCACGGCTCTGCTGCGAGCAGCCACTGCAGCACTGGGTTCACGCAACCAGCACTGCGTGTTCTCCAAGCTGGGCCTTGCTGCCTGTCCTGCCCTGCCTTGTATGAAAAGGATGCCTGACATTTGTGCACAGTATCTGGAATCGTCTGGAAATCATGCAAGCATGCCAGCTGTTTGATAGCATTGCAGCTATCGCTGACACAGAGCAGCACCACGAGCCGGGGCTGCGTGCTTCAGCACAGAGAAGTGCTGCTGCTATGAGAGAAGTCTGCTATGGGAGCCTTCAACCTCAGAGAAATGCACTGAACGACCAGACAGGGGAGAACTACTTACCATCTGCCTGCACACAAAGCCACTCTCAAAAGACCTTGAGGCAACGTTCTGTCAAACAAAACTGCAAACCATGCAGCAACACTAAGCGAGTTTTCACAAAGCTCTACCGAAATCAAACAAACAAGAAATACAGAACAATCCCGGAGCGAGCTGGACTGCAAAAATCTGTCATGTGAAGCGTTCAGTTCTTCATTACATCACCTACACAGAAAGAAAAACAAAGGAAAAGCAGATTAAGTTTTGCCTGAACACATGTATGCAAAACAAAGCGTCAGCAGTGCCAGCATCCCAGGGCACCATTGGCTGAGCTGCTTTTGCTACGGAGGGTGGAAGTTTGCACGCAAGAGCGAGGTTTCCTAGCCCTGAGAACTGCACAGAAAAGTGATGCTGATAGAATAAAATGGTTCCTGTGTGACAGATCACAACCAGAGGTAATTGTCTGCATGGCCTGAGTTAATTCAAAGTTCTCAAGTCAGCATTTAGAAGGGAACAGGCTCCATGCGTTTCCTGGTGGTGCTTTCAGCATTAGGCCAAACTTCCCTCCCTGTCTTTTCGAATGCAGAGACTCCTCCACAATTAACAAATACACAGACGTGTAAACATTGAGATGTCCAACTCGGGGCTAACTCTGCCAAAGGGAGAAAACAATGCAAGATTTCCAGGCAAGCCAGTAGAAGAAAGGAACCATCTACAAAGTCCTTCAGTGCGCAAAAACTAGAGGATGTGCAAACTTATTCTGTTCAATATCTGCACCAAAATAAATATCACACAGAATCACAGAATTGTAGGGGTTGGAAGGGACCTCCAGAGCTCATCGAGTCCAACCCCCTGCCAAAGCAGGTTCCCTACAGCAGGTCGCACAGGTCGGCATCCAGGCAGGTCTGGAACATCTCCAGAGAAGGAGACTCCACCACCTCCCTGGGCAGCCTGTTCCAGTGCTCCGTCACCTCACTGTACAGAAGTTCTTACGCACATTTGTGCGGAACTTCCTATGCTGCAGCTTCCAGCCGTTTCCCCTTGTCCTGTCTCCACTCACCACTGAAAAGAGCCCAGCCTCGCCATTCTGCCCCCCACACCTTAGATGTTTATAGACCTGGATCAGGTCCCCTCTCAGTCTTCTTTTCTCAAGGCTGAACAGACCCAGTTCACTCAGCCTTTCTCCATAGCAGAGATGCTCCAGGCCCTTCACCATCTTTGTGGCCCTCCGCTGGGCTCTTTCCAAGAGATCCCTGTCTGTTTTGTACTGGGGAGCCCAGAACTGGATGCAGTGCTCCAGATGAGGCCTCACCAGGGCAGAGTAGAGGGGGAGGATCACCTCCCTCGACCTGCTGGCCACGCTCTTTTTAATGCACCCCAGGATGCCATTGGCCCTCTTGGCCACAAGGGCACACTGCTGGCTCATGGCCGACCTGTCGTCCACCAGGACACCCAGGTCCCTCTCTGCAGAGCTCCCCTCCAGCAGCTCATCCCCCAACCTGTACTGGTGCATGCAATTATTCCTCCCCAGATGCAAGACTCTACACTTGCTTTTGTTAAACCTCATCCGGTTTTTTTCTGCCCAGCTCTGCAGCCTGTCCAGGTCTCGCTGAATGGTAACACAGCTTTCAGGCGTGTCAGCCAATCCTCCCAGCTTCGTATCATCAGCAAACTTGCTGAGGGTGGCCATTATCCCCTCATCAAGGTGAAGATGTTGAACAAGACTGGACCCAGCACCGACCCCTGAGGAACACCGCTGCTTACAGGCCTCCAACCGGACTCTGCACCACCAACAACGACCCTCTGTGCTCTGCCAGTCAGCCAGTTCTCAACCCACCTCACTGTCCACTCGTCTATCCCACACTTGCTCAGCTTTGTTATAAGGATGTCGTGGGGGACAGTATCAAATGCCTTGCTGAAATCAAGGTAGACTACATCAACTGCTCTCCCCCCATCCACCCAGCCAGAAAAAATCATCAGGTTTTAAATCAGAATTGAGCCTCTACTGGAATTCCTGTGTGAAATGCTACACAGGAACTGGCCATTAGATGTCACCTTTGCCCAGAACATCGATCATGTGCTCAGTCACTGAGCTCATCGCTCAAACCCGCACAGTAAAACCCCCAGTGTGCCCAGTTTGATAGCTGTGCTAGCAAGCTCCTGACAAGCTTACAGACATTGTACAGCAACAGTCCATCTTTAGAAATCGTTGTTTTAGTGATTCCTTCCCTTACTTTCGTGCAGGAAGATGTTCCTAGGAAGTTCTCCTACACAGCTAGATGAATTCACACCTGTGTTTTTATAGGCTAAATACTCACTGATTGACACTACTTTCCCTGTACCAGCAGCCGTTGCTTTCCTTAGGATTGCAGAGGCCCTCTGCGTAATGGAGCTGATGGTCAAACCACTCAGGACACCATTATTGTTCTTCCTCACCTCCAGCAGAGCATCCACGATTGTGTCTCTATAGGAGCAACAGAAATAACTGCTGACATCACTTTTTGTGCAGTTGCTTAGCGTTCCAGCTATCGTGGCTATGGCATCCCTAAACCTCCAGGTGGGGACCGGGGCGACAAATCCCCCCCTGCTGTGAGGACAGAGCAGGTCCGAGGCCGCCTCATGAGACTGAATGTGTACAGATCTAAGGGCCAGATGGCTGCGTCCCAGGGCTCTGAAGGAGCTGGGTGAGATGGTTGCTGAGCTGCTCTCCATCATTTTTGAAAAGTCATGGCTGTCAGGTGAGGTCCCAGATGACTGGAGGAAGGGTCACATCACTGCCATTGACAAGAAAGGGAGCCAGGAGGACCCCGGGAACTACAGGCCGGTGAGTCTCACCTCTGTGCCTGGGAAGATCATGGCACAGATCATCCTGGATGACATCCTGGGCATGTCATCCGTGACCTTCATCAGAGGAAGGTCATGCCTGACCAATCTGGTGGCCTTCTATGATGGAGTGATGGCATCGGTGGACAAGGGAAAGGCGACCGATGTCATTTACCTGGACTTGAACAAGGCCTTTGACATGGTCCCCCACCACATCCTCATCTCCAAATTGGAGGGATGTGGATTTGATGGGTGGACGACCTGATGGATAAGCAATTGGTTGAAAGGATGCAGACAGAGGGTGGTCATCAATGGCTCTGTGTCCAGGTGGAGGCCGGTAATGAGCGGCGTCCCCCAGGGCTCTGTCTTGGGACCGGTGCTCTTCAACATCTTTATCAATGACAGCGATGTAGGAATCGAGTGCACCCTCAGCAAGTTCGCTGATGACACCAAGCTGAGAGGTGCAGTTGATATGGTGGAAGGAAGGGATGCCATTCAGAGGGACCTCAAGAGGCTGGAAAGGTGGGCAGGGTGAACCTGATGAGGTTCAACACGGCAAAGTGCAGAGTTTTGCACTTGGGCCGGAGGAATCCCAGGCATCGGTACAGACTGGATGGAGCGGTCCTTGAAAGCAGCCCTGTGGAGAAGGACCTGGGGTCCTGATGGATGAAAAGCTTAACATGAGCCAGCAATGTGCTCTTGAGGCTCGGAGGGCAAATGGTATCCTGGGGTTCATCAAAAGAGGGGTGGCCAGCAGGGACAGGGAGGTGATTGTCCCCCTCTACTCTGCTCCTGTGAGGCCCCATCTGGAGCACTGCATCCAAGTGTGGAGCCCGCAGTACAAAAAAGACAGGGAGCTGTTGGAGAGGGTCCAGAGGAGAGTCATTAGGATGATCAGGGGACTGGAGCACCTCCCCTGTGAGGACAGGCTGAGGGAGCTGGGCTTGTTCAGCCTGGAGAAAAGAAGGCTGCGGGGTGACCTCACTGCAGCCTGCAGTACCTAAAGGAGCCTACAGAGGGGAGGCGAATCAACTCTTTGAAAGTATTGATATGTGTAGGACGAGGGGAAATGGTTTTAAGTTGAGGGAGGGGAGATTGAGATGGGACATCAGGGGGAAATTCTTTACCCAGAAAGTGGTGAGCTGCTGGAACAGGCTGCCCAGAGAGGTTGTGGATGCCCTGTGCTTGGAGGTGTTCAAGGCCAGGTTGGACCAGGCTGGGCAGCCTGGTTTAGCATTAAACGTGGAGGTTGGTGGCCCTGTATGTGGCAGGGGGGTTGGAGATTCGTGATCCTTGAGGTCCCTTCCAACTCTGGCCATTCTGTGATTCTGTGATTCATTACCAATCAGGGCAGAACTACAATCCAAGCACTCTTACCTACTAGCTTCTGGATGAATGGCTTTAAGTTTCTTCATTAATTTGGCAAAACTGCTCATGTTCAATGCATTAGGAGACATAAAGGCTTCTGATGAGTTAGCGGAGAGAAGCGCAGCAGGTGCTCTTGGCAGGGAATTCTCTCCAGCATCCTAAAATTGCATGAAAAGCAGCAAGCAGTGAGTGGGCTATGTGCTGCACAAGTCATTTGGAGCATCTTTACTACCAGTAAGTATGTGTGTTACAGAAAAAGGAGAAGTGAAATTCACATAGCGTATCTACAGTTCATTAGCCATTACTATTTTTGCCTTGACCAACGTGAGTGAACATAGAAATGATATCTATGATATCTACTGGGCTACTGGTTTGGGGATAAGAAGAAACATCACAACTTGATGTGGGAGCAAACAAATGGTGATATCAGTCTTCTCCAGCATGTCACCAATTTATAACTGACACACTCCGTGCTTTCATACCCTAACACTGCTCAGTAAGCAATAAATAGAACATGTTAGAGGAAGGAAGTTGTGAGGCTCCAATCTGCCACATAAAGAAGCCACAGTAATCATTAATTACCTTCTGATCAACTGCAAACAGAAAACGTATGGAGTCTTCAGCAGAGGATTTGGGGCACTTTGCTTCTGAAGGCAACTGTGTAGAGCAAGGAGCTGGCGAAGAAGCCCTGGGCAGGAGAGGCACCTTCAGAGAAGCAGGGGAGGTGCCAGGAGCTCCCACAGAACCAGGGGCTGATGGCAGTGTTTCATTCTGATCACAGCTTGCACTGCTAGCAACAGAGAGAGCTTCACTCCAAAGCTTCTTCCCAAGGATTCGGGAAGCCGAAGATCTGTTCTCCGATGGATTGTTGACAAGCTCCACACTTATTGGTTTTCCTTTAATTTTTGTCTTGTTCATTTCTTCCACTGCCAACTTTGCTGTAGAGGCGTCTTTAAAGCCAAGAACTGCACACCTAAGACATGAAATAGGAAGCTAGGTGAAGTACAGCTTCGGTTGCTACACAATGTCAGTAAGTATTTTGGGACTGTCAATACGAACACATGATGAGTCCCATCTTTTGAACATTAACCATGTCACAAGAGAAAATTCCAAGCTGCTAAGCTTCTCATAAGGTGAGAAGCTGCCTGGAATCACAGGTTTTTGCCAACTAATCTGTATCTATCTATTACTTAATAAAAGTTATTTACCTGTGGTTATCAGAATCTCCACAGAGCAGGACAGAGATCTGGTACTTCTGGAAATGCAATCTCAGGTCACCCTATAAAAACACACACGTTTTGTTTGCAGGGATATAGCACGAGAGTTCACACGAGCAGCAAGACATCACTGCTATGGAAATGGAAGCAGGCGTACCTCTGACACTGAAGAACTCAAGCCACCAACACAAACAAAGGAGCACTCATTTGCACCCTCCGTTATCTTTGCTTCTGATAACAAACGGAAGAAATCAGACTGTTACCATTTTTTCAGCTCAAACTGACATCTCTAAAGCAATTCTCAAGAAGCCATTACAGGGAAGGATGCAGAAAGGGACAGAGAGCGCACAGTATCAGCACCATCATGAGGTATGTCACCTCAAAGCATGGGACCTCACCTCTCAAACCAACCGTGTCTTGCTTCTCTTGGCACTTCCCCACTCCTTCAGACTCTCCTGAAAAGTCTGTTCCTGTGAAGTCCTCCTTAGCATCAAACCAACATTCATTCCGCTCTTTGTTTCTCACACGTCCTTGACAAATAAATTTCAGTGTGTCAAACTCAGATGAACGAATATCAGAGGATCCCAGCTACTTACATTATTTGCTGCTACTTGAAGAAGAGGTGACACGCAGCAGGTCTCCCTTGTGATTCAAATAGCAAAGGTTTATGACCACTTTTTTCTGGATACAAAGTGTAATAGATGGCTGATATATAGGGATGTCCTACTGTGCCCCGTGTCAGAGTGCTTACTGGCATGTATTTTACACCACACCCCTCACCTCACCCCTCAAACAATGAGCAGGCCATGCAACAGAAGCAGTGAGCTTACCGTGCTGCACGCCCTGCTTTTCAAGCTGCTCTTGGGACATCTTGGAAGAAGCAGAGTCACTGGGCTGCTGGCCGTCAGTTAAACATGTGGGCTGTGCACTCTCCTATGAGCACGTTCCAGTTATATCATACAGCTTGCACTTGATAAGGCCTTTTTTTAACTTCAGAACATTAATCAGTTAAACAGGTAAATTTTAAAAAGAACCTGATGATCCCACCAAGAACCCCCACATTATTTTGCTTCCAAAGGACAACCCAAAGTGGTCCCTCAGCAGCTCTTGTTGCTACTGGCAGAGAATCCCAGCCTGAGCCTTACAGCCCATAGCTGTTATCAGAGGATAGCTGAGAAGAGACAGTGCTCCCAGCACAACGTCTATCAAATGACAAAGCCCTACCTACCATGTTAACAGGAGTTCTGATTTCTTGCAATGGTGAAGCTTCAAAACCTGCTTTTCTCATGTCTGAAACAGAACTGCAAAGGATCCAAGGACTTAATACAAAGTACAGCTCCACAAGTTTTAATTGCCACCGCACAGTTCCCACCTGACAACACTACAGAGTAGAGCCTTCCTTGAAATGAAACCACTGCACACAAAGTGCTATGCAGTCTAGAGCAACAAGATGCATCCCGAAATACAGGAATCCCAAGCTAAATGGGAGCAGAGCTTAAAAGATGTTCATTCAGAGCTTTAAAACCGGAAGCAAGGACTACTTACCCAGGGCAAAGTTCCTCCCTGAATAACTGTCAAAAGAGAAAACAGGACTTCATTTTCAAGAAAGAAATCATCGAAAGCAAACAAACAGAAAATTCAAAAACATACCTTGCATGGGACATAGGAAGAAGCAATTGGCAATAACTTGATCTCAACTGACAGTGGTGGAAGTGTGCTCAAAGGTGTGCCCGCTTGTATTTTTGCTCTCATACTGTTGTAATTCTTCTTTAGCTCTTCCAAAACTGATGTGACAGAGGAACCTGATTCAGTATTAGCAGAGGTATTTCCGTGGTATCTGTTAAAATAAAATCATCACAGAATCATAGAATAGCCTGGGTTGAAAAGGAGCACAGCGCTCATCCAGTTCCAACCCCCTGCTGTGTGCAGGGTCACCAAGCAGCAGCCCAGGCTGCCCAGAGCCACATCCAGCCTGGCCTTGAATGCCTGCAGGGCTGGGGCATCCACAGCCTCCTTGGGCAACCTGTTCCAGTGCCTCACCACCCTCTGAGTGAAAAATATTGCATCCCATAATAGGAAAGATAAATTTTCCCCATCAGCAGCATGGTAAGACATCCCGAGGCAAGTCTGCTGCAGGGCAAATATTTAGCAATTAATGCCAAGTTATCCATTTCACTCAGAAGGACATTAACACACCTGCTAAAACATGCATTTTCCTCCAAAGCCAGTTTGTGGATCTTCAAGCAGTGCTGATAGCACATCTGGTAGTGAGCGTTTAGAACCTGCAATTCTGCTTCAATAGCTCTCTGCAGTAGATTTTGACAGACAGACACAGAATCCTTCACAGCTTCTTTGTTGAGGTGTGCTGGCCTTCAAAATAATAATAATACAGTGATGAAGAGTTTGAGTCAATATTGCAGGTTTCCTATGTTTTATTGTTTAACCAGCAGCTTTACAGGAGCTACGTCTGAGGTGATTTAAGGAAAAAGACAATGCAATCAGTTCCTCCTGTTTGCAGAATTATAGAATCAGAACCTTTAGAGTTGGAAGTTTTTACAGAATACCTTTAGAGAATCTCAGAATGGCCAGGGTTGGAAGAGACCCCAAGGATCATGAATCTCCAATCCCCCTGCCACATGCAGGGCCACCAACCTCCCCACTTAATATTGGCTGCCCTTGAACACCTCCAGGGACGGGGCAGCCACAGCCTCTCTGGGCAGCTGTTCCAGCACCTCACCACTCTCTCTGTAGAGAGCTTAAAAGAACTTTCAAGAGTTGGCCGTCCAGTCCAACTCCCCTGCAACAAACACAGCCTTTCCATCTCCAACACAGAAATCTTACCCGGCATCTAGAACTCCAAACAGAGAACAATCCACGACCCACCTGTCAGCCTTTATCTTTACACTGCTGTTACACAACTCAGTTTTGGATTCCCACTGTTCCTAAATAAAGATGATTACAAAGAAGTTACAGATTAACATTTGTATACGCAAGTTCCGAGCAGTGTTAGGTTTACAAAGCTATGCATCAACATTATTATTATTTCTGAAGTTACCTTGACTTGTGAACTTCTTTCATTTGCTGCAGCACTGCCATCCTGGTGCACATCAGCAAGCTGTGACCCCATTTCCTCTGTAGGACCAGTCCCAGACAGCCAGTCTGTACTGCGAGCAACACTGGTACAAGTTTCCCCAAGCCAACCCACACGTCTGAATTTGTTCATCACTGTGATCTCTGTATTAATTGCCCTGGATAAGAGAGGAACTTGAGCACTGGTACTTCTGCTGGTTGTAAAGCAAACTCTAAAATCAGAACTTGCGTCGACAGCCTGGTTAACTTTAGAATTACTGACCACATTTACCAAGCTTTCACAACACTCCCAGTTGAGGGAGGCAGAGGTATTTGCACTGCAAGATTTCCCTGCAGCTTCCTCCCCAGAACTGAGATCTTTGCTAGTGAGAACTGCAGGGACTGGACACTGGTTCTCATCCCCCTTCGAAGCACAGTAAGCACAGCTGGCACCACGTATGCACAGGAGGGGTTCCTCACAACTGTAAAAATCAGAGTCTCCTGCACTTTTGCAGACCTGTGTGGCTGTTGCTTGGGCCCTTTCCCTTGGTGACAGTAAAGGGCTTCCTTGCTCCACTAAGTTGCTGTGAACACATCCGTCGTTCTGTCTGGGCTGTGCACCACCACGTAAGGAAGCATCTTCCACCTCTGCACGGTCGGGTGCAAGCAGATTTGGATAACTCCTCCCTCTACTCCCGTATGCGTGACTTTCAAGCACACTTCCAGTAAGACCACTAAGAGATGCTCCCTGCTCCTCCTTACTACTACAAACCGTGCCACTGCCAACAGGCAGAGAGTCCTGGAGCAGCTGGGGAAGCTCTGGCACAGCTGTACAACACTCAGAAGTAGAGTCAGAAAGATTTTGTTCTTTTGCAGCTCCGCCACCTGCAACGTCATGAACTGGATCATGAACCAGGGCTTCCTTTCCTACAGCTTCCCTTTGCTCAGACAGCTCGCTTGAGCTATTCCCATCACCAAAGCCTTCCTCGTTCGCACTGATGTACTCCAGCTGTGAATCTTCACCCACACGGAGGTGACTCCCAGCATCACAAACCCCGCAGCTGCACCACGTACCACCAGCACACGCCGTCCTCAGCACGCCAGCTTCTTTCTGGCTTTCATCTGCCTCGGCGCTGCAGGTTCTCCCTCTCACGTCATACACGTCAATAGCAGCATCTAAAGACGTACTCAGGTAAGGCAAGCTTTCCTCCGATAACGCTGCAAGGCCCCCGCTGGTGCTTTGCTGGGCTTCCAGCGGACGAGGGCAGAGCAGGGAGCCGCGCTGCTGGTTGCCTTCAGCACGGTCCTCCTGCAGCTCCATGGCGCACAAGGGGCCTTCTCAGAAGCGATCCACGCAGCTCCTCCCGCAGGCAGCCACGACCGCCTCCCTCCCGAAACCAAGCCAACCTCACGGTATCTGCACCGTACCAGAGCCCGCTTTCCCCTACTATCGACCGCAGCCCGCGCCCGCAGGCCCGGCCCTCACAGCACAGCCCGCCCGCCAACGGCCCGCCACGCGCTCAACGGCCGCCGCGCCTGATTGGCTGAGGCGGAGCCCTCGCGCTGCCGCCGCCATTTCTCCTGACGCAGCCGCAGCTCTGCGCTGTATCTTACCGCTATCCAGAGCGCTTTGATGCAGAATTGCTTTCGGTCCTGGCTGCTGCGCTGCAAGGTCTGCTCTCCCAGAGTCCTTAAAATGCGGTAAAAACGCGTTGAGGCTTCTAAACAACGCAGCGGCGGTCTGAACGCACCCAGCCCCGCAGCACAACCGCCTTCAGCAGCCCGCCCGCCCGCAGCCCCACGGCCGCGCATCCCCACACAGCGCTGCTCGGGGCCGTTTCCCAGCAGCAGCACGAGGACAGACCACCAAAAGCACCCGACAAAGTGATGTTTTTTATTGGCAACTTCCGCTGATGAGTTTCCTTTTCCACACTCCTTGACGTTTATATATAAAAAGGAAGAAAAACAAAAAACCACCAACAACCAATAAACTTTTTTTCGGGTAACATTCCATTCTGCAAACATTAATATTATTTAACATTTGAAAATAAACGCAAAGCAGTTTTAAATAGAAATTGTAGGAGAAGGCAGGTTTGGGGCCATTGGAGGCAGCCCTGCCTGGAGCCCAATGGAAACAACGTGGGCACGTGCTGCTGTCATCATCCAAAGCCCTGCTGTACATTCTTCACAGGAAGACACAAACCAGTTTGCATTAAACCCAACGGTGCTTTCTCTTCCCTTATTCTAAAGCTAAGTCATACTGAAAGTTACGGGGGGAAAAAAACGTAGCTTCAACATCCAGCTACTTCATCACACACGACGATTCCTACTAAGAGCATATCCAGGTTGAAATACACAGCTGATTTCTGTCATGAGGCTAATGCTTATGGGGTGCAAGATGCAATCTGCTTTAAAAAAAACCAACACATCACTTCTTGATGAGCAAAACATTATTTTCAGCCTTTTGGACCAACTCTGATTTGTTGCTCCTGAATATTGCCAGGGGAGTTTCTCACCGCTACCACAAATAAGATGACTGATGGTAATCCCACACTTCATCATCAGTTAGCAAGACGTAGCATTTAGCATGTTCATTTGCATTCAGGAAAACCCTTAACTCATCTTTTTTTAGGCCCCAGAGGCTTCGTACACCAGAAATTACACAAGTCACAAAGTTGTAAATAGGTATCGACAGCAATTTTGAGGTATTCCATGAGAAACATGGATTTGCACCTGAATGTTCCTCTCAAGGAAAGGAAAACAAAATCCAAAGCCCTAGCTGGAGAGTAAATTAAATGATTTACAATTCCTCCATTTCCCATGTTCTACCCCAGTTGACCAGCAAGGACATACTTATTTTCTCAGAGGCACAGCAAGCCTACCTCTTCCTCATCCTGCAGTATTCACCTCAGTACTTCACCCCTGAAGTTCAGGGCACTCCGAGGAGCAAAGGTGGTGGTGTTATAACCTAGCCAAAACACATTCAGATACAGGTTTTGGTTTACTGGCCTTGTGAAGGTGCTCTAAGATACCAGCAATCCCCTGATGTTCCAAATAGCAGCAATTTATCCCCTAACCTCCAGGCTATGAGGAAGAGGCTAGAGAAGGATCTGGACCAGCAAATCCAAAACCAAGTTAGGACAACACGGGCTTCTGAGTTTGCATTTGGCTTAATCAAACCGTATTGACAGAAGGCTGCTCCTGCCAAACAGGAGATGCTGCTCCATCCCACGAGCAGATCCCTTAGGGAATTGCTCACCTGCATTACTGCTGGGGTAGGGCTGAAGGGGAAAGGACAGATGTCATCTTCAGCTAACTGCTGTTCTCCTTGGAGTAGTACATTCACAGGTTTTTTCCCCACAGTCCAGAGCTACTGTGCTAGTTGTGTAAACTGCATCATTTTAACTGGTTATGGTAGCTTTCATGAGAAGTGGAAAACCTTTACAATGACTTGCAAAGGAAATATTTTGCTATCTCTGTATTTGTAAAAAAAAACAACTAACACCCATATGCAGTAACATTTTCTAAAGTGCTTCTTATCAGTTACTTTTTAAAGATTAGACTTGCCTTCTGTAGCGGCGTGTTTTCCTAGCAGTTCATGGACCAGTAGATAGTTTCTGATGTAGAAAACCCATGACGTATTTTGTTTAAGCAAACGACACTTGTTTTGACAAACTGAAGTCATGTAAGTGCAAAACCCACCACTTCTTCAAACACGGCCTTACGCTGGTTTATTAACACAACTTTACATCCTTAAGAAGTATTCTACTTCAATTCCGAGAGCAGGGATTAAATAATACAAATAAGATTTGAAATCCAATGAAGCTATTGCCTATTTACCCTGAAATAAAATAGTCTTATGATTCGACCGGTGCAAAAATCCCTCCAAACACCTTTGTTTTATTGGCAAAGTCATTTAAGGTCACTTTTGCTTCCAAGACCATCTTCTTCCACGGTTTCCACTGAAGGAGTTTTGCTTTGTAATGGCTTGTGGTTCCACAGTGATTTGTAAATGAAAAGCCTACTATGAATAACTCTACCGTAGTCACTAAATGACAGATACAGTCATGAGAAAGTCTAAAACTTACAGTGTTTTTTTGTTGTTTTTTTTTAAATTCTCAGCAAGACACAAAATTCCAGTCCAGTTAAAGTGTTTTCTTCGAATGCCATTTGAAATGGCGAGGAACAGCTGCCGTGCCTTCTGGGAGAACTCAACGCGGCGCCCCGATGTGCTTCTAACATGGCATACAGATATTGTACCCACAGCAGTGCGTAGAAGGGCCCCGCAGGCACAGCCACGTGCATCAGCTACTCCTACAGATATAGTGCAGTAGGTCTGAATCTGCGCAAAGGGAACCACGGCTGCGTGGCACCTAGCAAACGTTGCAGTTGTCTGTTGTCAGAAGGCATGACGCAAAGCATCCCGGACAGCAAGACACAGAAGCATCTGTAACACCGTTCGGATTCTGTCCAGCAGTCGTTTCCACTGAGAGCTGGTGGTTATTGCTGTGACAGCAAAGCACTGCGGTTGGCCTTCATCTTCTCCAAGCGTTTTACTAGATGCCCGTTGCTGACTTCCAGCTCTTCAGTTTTATCCAGTGCCGAACGAAGCTGAAGGAAAGAAGCAGAAAAAAAAACAACAACCCCGTCACTTTTGCAGTGTTTGCCCTTTCCAACGATAAAGCAAAGTTTATCGTTACCAACAATACTGCAGGAGCTTCCTCACGTGGTAAAGCAGCTGAAAATTCCCGGGAGAGGAGTTAATGGTGAATGCAGCACTGCTGCTTTGAAGGCCACACGCACACAGTTTCTAAGCACGGTGCCAAGAGCCCAAACTATTTACAGAACGTTGAACATCTGGCTCACAGTTGGCCTTGGCTTCAGAGGCATGGATGTTCAGAGATCTGCTGGGTGACATACACCTTTCTCACAGTGCCTGACTTTTCCATTTCTGGTTCCCAGACTTACAGAAACAGCCTTGACTTTGAAGCCTTAATTTTCTATAACATCCACTAAGGGAGAAAGCACAGAGTAACAGCTACAAAACCCTGATAAGGGTGCCAATGACAACACAAGGCAGATTTTAGGGCTTCCCTCAATTTGGGACTTGCTAGTAGTTAGACTGGCCCTGAGAAAAAACGAGCGCCACTCCTTCTGACAGAAGGAAGGAACAGAAGGGATGGAGCAAAAATGCCTTAGTCTAGAGCTGCCATCCAGGGGAGCAGTGCAGCATTTGGGACCCTTCTGGCCTTGGGCAGCTTGCTGCCTTCCAGGACAGCATCCTAAGCAACAGACTAAGAACTGCTGCAGGTGTTGCTGCAGGTTTTGACTGAAGCCACTGCACTTTGTGGAAGAGACTTCCACTCTTAGCCCAAGAGAAAGAAGCCTTTAGCGCAGCTACTGGAGTACTTCCCTGGAAATAACACCACGAATCCTGAGCTTTAATTTAAAGACCACTTAAACAAGAATATCTGAACCATTTTTGGATATCACAATCCAGCACCTCACCCCCCCCTTCAAAAAAAAAAAAAAGCTAGAAATTAATGTCCTTCTCTCAAGCAAACGTGATGTTTATAAACTGTGGTCCGAGTTTCTTTGTGATTTCTATACTGTGGTGGCTTATAATGCCTTTACAAGCACCAGCCCCAGTGTCTTAAGGGGCATGAATCTTATCTGATAAGCGAGACGACAAGACAGAAGGGTAAGTTCCACAAGGCACCACTTATTACAGGCAGCATAGCAGGAAGAGCTATTTAGTTTTTATGGTAGAGAGCCACAGTGGAAAAACCCCTTAGGAGGCCGGCGTGAAAGCAGCTGACATATTTAAGGCTGGCTGTAGCAGTTGCTTAAAGACAACACGAAGTTTGGTAAAAGAAATAAGGTCAAAATTATGAAGAGCTTGAAAAGTGTGCTTTAAGAGAAAATATGGGCAGAGTCTGGATGGGAATGCAACAGGAAAGAGGCACGAACAGATAACTGAGCAAGAAAAGGAACAATTCACATTCACTTACAGCTAGAGAGGACCATGCAAAGCTGAGCATCTGAAGGCTGCAGAAGCAGCACCTGAGTTTCCTGTGACAGTTACATTTGCAGTTACCTCTCTCTGTAGCTTGCGCTTCTCTGCTTTCAGTTCATCTTCTACTCTTTCAGCATTTTCAGCAGCAGTTTTGTATCGGGCTACTTGACCTTCCAGTCGTATTACCTATTGCAAATGCAAACGTTTGGAGTTAAAGATCACTCTGAAGCTTTATTCCTCTGCTGATAGTTAAGCAGTATGAAAGTTGGTGGATTTATTTCAATCAAAGAAAGGCATGTTTTGAGAAAAATGTACAAAAGAAGACATGGCAACTACCTCCAGAGCCCTTAGATGTACCCGTATTTCATATGCTTCCAGCAACAGAAATCACAGCCCATTTACTAAATCTAGCCATTTATACTCTGATCACGAGCAAACAGTTACATCTGAACAGCACTGC